TTTTTTTTTTTTTTTACATTTTAAAGTATATTTTAAATAATTATGTTTGAATACTTTTTTTTGTCATGCTTTAAATAAGTTGACTAACATACTAAAGCACATTTTAAATCATTATAATACTTTGTCAATACACTGGGCAGTAAACTTTAACCACATTTCAAAGACAATAGAAATAATGATAAAATTACATATAAAAATGTACTTAGGTGGGTCAAAAAGCACTCTAAAGTTCATATAATTTAATTTAACACAAATTTAAACTATAATACAGTTTAATTGCAACTAACATGCAATTAAGTGCACAAAAACACTTAAGTATATTCTTTTAAATAATTAAATTTCTGTAATAAGTACGCTTTTTTTAAAAGTGTGCTTTTTCACGAGGCTGTTTATACGTATCTGGGTATTTAGTTTTTAATTCAGTTGAGGTGAAGTTACTGCAAGAGCTGCTCCCGATTTTCACGTTTAGCTTGCATTGATTATGAGCCTCCACTGCGCATCCCATAATCACAGCGAGAGCTCCGATTGGAGGAACCCACCTTGAAGAGGATCTCGGTTGTCATGGTGAAGCCGTGGGTGATGATTGGCTCTTCATCCGGAGGTTTGCCCTTCCAGCAGTCGAGCTCCAGACAGCGGCACCCGGCGAGGAGACACTGACGGTACATCTCCGGAGACGAGACGCCCGTCAGCTGCCCCGCTGCACACAACACACGCTTTCAACTAAATATGTGACCCTGGAGCACAAAACTTAATTTTTGATTAGTAATATGCATGGCTAAGAACTTCATTTGGACAACTTTAAAGATGATTTTCTCAATATTTAGATTTTTTTGCACCCTCAGATTCCAGATTTTCTCGGCCAAATATTGTCCAATCCTAACAAACCATACATCAGTGGAAAGCTTATTTAGTAATCTCGGCCAAATATTGTCCTATCCTAACAAACCATACATCAATGGGAAGCTTATTTATTCAGCTTTCAGGTGATCTATAAATCTCAATTTTGACAAATTGACCCTTACGACTGGTTTTGTGCTCCAGGGTCACATCTCTATAAACACCCAGAGTGTCGAGCCCCGAGTCGCTGCTTTAGTTTCCTCCTCACCTGTGAGATAGGTGTTGTGGGAGGATTTGACGAAGTAATGTGGGATGGGTTGGGTCATATCGTGACTCTGGGCCAGTTTGTCCAGTTTCACCACTGATGTCTCAGATCCCATCAGATAAAACATCAAACCATCTGGAGAAATCTGACCTGCAGCAGCAACAAACTTCGAATGAACCTTCACAAATACAGTCACACATTAAAAACACTGTTGTTATTCACTGAGCTGATCTAATGTGACTGACTTAGTTTATTTATTATTCTATTCTATTCTATTCTATTCTATGATATTATATTATAGTTTTTATTCATAATTTGAACTTTAGTTTTTATTTTAAATTTAAGTTAAGGTTTTATTAATTTTGTTGTGCATTTTTGTCATTTTTATTAGTTATGTTTTTTTTAATGTGTATGTAGTTTTAATTAACATTATATTATAGTTTTCATTCATATTTCGAACTTGTTTTTATTTTTAGAATTTCCACTTTTATTTTAATTTAAGTTAAAGTTTGAATAAATTAGCTGTGCATGTCATTTTTATTAGTTATGTTTTTAAATGTCTATATAGTTTATTTATTTATATTATATTATATTAGTATAATGTTATATTATAGTTTTTATTCATATTTTGAACTAGTATTTAGATTTTTCATTTTTATTTTAATTTTGGAATAAGATACATTTTCTTAAAATTTACTTTGATATGAAGACGTATTATTTTAAGCATAAATTTAATATAATTTAGTGATGTTTCTGCTTAAAACATGAATAAAACTGTTGCCAATGGGTCAAGACAGCAGACATACAAATAATATTTTATTTTATTATTTTATTTATTTCATTTCATTTTATTTTATTTTATTTTTTATTACATGAACAAAACTGTTGCCAGTGGATCAAGACAATAAATGTAGATTAATAATAATGTTAATGTAAGATATATTAAAAACTTGAAAATACAAAAACTAGAAACTGAAAGAAAATAAGTTTACACTGAAGTACTAAAAATTACAAAATTAAAATGAAAGCTACAGAAATAAAAAATATATATATAAAAACTGAGAAAAGCACATAAAATCAAACAAAAAAATAAAAAATGTAAACTAATTCAAAATATTATTTAAATCAATAATACTAAAATAACACTGCATCTCAGATAATTATTATTATTATTATTATTTTTTTTAATTGTAAAAAATCGCTCATTAAACTGAGCTCTGTGGGACACTCACCGCGGCTGGCGTTGGACGAGCTCGGCTCGTATTTCTCTATGAGATTCTTCACCTGTTCAGGTCTGACGAGTGGAAACAGCTCCTCATTGAGACGGGAATCTCGCTGTTTCTCGTTCAGGAACTTGGTCAGCATCTCCTTCGTCATGAATCCCTTTCCTTTCGTGCTAAGAAGGTCATAATCAAACACTGATTAATGATCAGATCAAATGATCAAATGAACATATGGAGTGCGTTCACTCACAAGGACGTGAAGATTTCATTGATTTCAGGTCTGGGACACAGATTGAGTATGAAGGTCTTGAACGCCGCTTCAGTGAACACATCAGACTTGATGGTGTCAAACTAACAACACAAGACGACTGATGGTTAAATACTGCATAAACACACACACACACACACACACACACACACACACACGAACACAAAGTAAACACACACACCTTTCCTTTGGGGAGATTTGCTGCGGCCAGAGCAGCTTCAACCCTTTTCTTGTCTGCTGGAAACATCTTAAAGATACTGAGACGAAAGATTAAGATCATTAGGAGAAGATATCAAATATTAAGCATCACTTTAATGTGCGACAATGCACATTTTACCTAGCAAAATTAGCATCCCAAATGCTGTTCTATTCAAAATTTTGAGGTCGGTAAGATTCTTATGCTCACCAAGGCTGCATTTATTTGATCAAAAATACAGTAAAAAATGTGAAATATTATTACAATTTCAAACAGCTGTTTTCTGTGTGAATCTGTTGAACTGTAATTTATTCCTGTGATGCGCAGCTGTATTTTCAGTATCATTACTCCAGTCTTCAGTGTCACATGATCTTCAGAAATCATTCTAATATGCCGATTTGCTGCTCAAGAAACATTTCTGATTATTATCAATGTTGAAAACAGTTGTGCTGCACAATATTTTTGTGGAAACCGTGATACATTTTATTTTTCTGGATTATTTGATGAATAAAAAGTTCAAAAGAACAGCATTTATTTGAAACAGAAATCTTTTGTCACATTATAATGTCTTTATTCTCACTTTTGATCAGTTTAATGCATCTTTGGTGAATAAAAGTATCAGTTAAAAAAATCTTAATGACCCAAACTTTTTGAATGTTATATACTGTATTTTTTTATATAAACATGTTTTTTTTTCTTACTTTTTAACAGGGATTTTCCCATCTTTGTTGGTCTGCAGTGAGAGGCGGACATACCTATAAAGAAGACGGAATATGGAATACTGGGAATATAAATCAACATTTGTCATGTCGTGACTAGTCTGAAATTGACCGCACAAATCCTCACACTTTCTCCAGGAAGAACTGTCTGCAGGCGTTCGCTCTCAGTGTGTTATATGCTATAGCCAGGATGTCGTCAGCCCACGTCTGTGCCAAAAAGAAATGAGCTTAGATTAGAAAAACATGACAGATTGATTTTCTGCTCTGCAGTGAATGGGTGCCGTCAGAATGAGAGTCCAAACAGCTGATAAAAACATCACAATAATCCACAAGTAATCCACAGCACTCCAGTCCATCAGTTAACATCTGGAGAAGACAAAAGCTGAAACACATCCAGCATTAAGACGTTTTTAACTAAAATATGAGTCCATAATCCATAATAATGCTTCCTCCAGATCTCCTGTTGTCTCTCACATCAAAATCCAGACACATATTTGTTTAGAGCTGTTTAAATGCTGCTTGATCTGTGCAGATTTCTCTCCTGATTCAGACCAGAACACTGACTCACTGGAGTAAGTGTTATTATGGACTCGTATTTTAGTTAAAAACATCTTATAATGATGAATTTGTTTCTTACATACACGCAGCTTTTGTCTTCTCCAGATGTTAACTGATGGACTGGAGTGCTGTGGATTACTTGTGGATTATTGTGATGTTTTTATCAGCTGTTTGGACTCTCATTCTGACGGCACCCATTCACTGCAGAGCATCCATTGCTGAGACACTGATGCAATGCTACATTTCTCCAAATCTGATGAAGAAACAAACTCATCCTGATCTCTGATGGACTGAGGGTGAGTAAAATCTCAGCTAATTTTTATTTTGGGGTGAACTATTTCTTTAATGCTCTGTTGGATCATATCAATAACAATAGTGTTGCTTGACTGAGTAAACGGCACTAATAACAAACCCAGTCTGTGTTTACTTCAGTCAGATGTGTTTGTGTGTTTGACTGAGATGTGAGGGCGTATGATAAACCTCAGCGCTTTGAGGCACACAGAAATAACACAAATGATCTGCACTGCAGCTTATTAGTGGCAGGATATGAAAATCATAAACTCATAAAACCCATTTCTGAACCTCAAAGACCAGCGGCTGCTTTAAATGGAACATTAGTCCTGATAAACGTGTGGCTATCTATCTATCTATCTATCTATCTATCTAAATGAAATACATTGAAGTGTGTGTTTTAAAATGAAACACATATGTGACCCTGGACCACAAAACCAGTCATAAGGGTCAATTTCTCGAAATTGAGATTTATGCATCATCTGAAAGCTGAGTATGAAGTATGATACCTGGGCCACTTCTTTAGCAGCAAAGAAGTTGTGATAGGAGAGGCTGACGGTGTCTGTTCCTGTCACGATGGTCAGCGCTTTGGCCAGATGATGGCTGTCAGGAAAATCCATGTTGAAGACGTTACGAACCTTTGGATGCTGAAAGAGGAAGAAAATCATAAGACGTTGCTTGAGAATATGAAACGTTGTCTACCTAAACCCTAAAACAACACTTCAGATTTCTGATTTCTGAAAGTCACTGCATCAAACATCAAAATGTTAAAGCAAGTGACGTTTAGGAGGGAAAACTCTAAACATCTCATCCATGACGTCTGCTTTCCATACATGAGCCATCAACAAGAACAACCCAGACCGGCAAACAAATCCGGCTTCATGCAAATGTGTGAAGGGAGAAACGCGAGGTCAACAGCTGTGTGTGTGCAGAGAGACAAAGAACACCATTTCATTTATATAGAAACATTAATATATAACGAACCTTTGGATGCTGAAAGAGGAAGAAAATGATAAGACATTGCTTGAGAATATGAAACGTTGGCTAAAGACTAAAGTGACACTTCAGACTTCTGAAAGTCACTGCATCAGATATCAAGCGAGTGACGTTTAGGAGAGAAAGCTCTAGAAACTTTAAACATCTCATGCACGAAGTCTGCTTTCCATACATGACCCATCAACAAGAACAACCCAGACCAGCAAACAAATCCGGCTTCATGCAAATGTGTGAAGGGAGAAACACGAGGTCAACAGCTGTGTGTGTGTGTGTGTGTGTGTGTGGAGAGACAAAGAAAATCACTGTATAATTCATATAACAATAGTAATATATCAAACATAACATCCTGTTTATGTTTCTAATAGCACTTAAAAATATGCATGTCAAAAATGCTCCTCAACTGTTTGGATAAAGCATCTGATAAATGCATAAATGTAAAAACTTTGTGAGAAGGATGATCAGAACTGATGAGTGTGTTCATATGTTAATGCTGTATGTCAGTAGCTGATGTGATTCTCTGATCTGAACATTGACTGTGGTTGATGTGATTGTTTCTGCTGAACGCTGCTGTTTGCAAGGCAAATTCACACAAATACTCAAATGCAACAATGAACTCAAACACTGACACTCCGTCTGTTTAGTCATGATGCAACATAAAACACATTACATAACATGGACAGGGCACATACTTTAGGGAGCTTGGCATATTTTCCCGCTCTTGTGTCCCTGATGGTGGCAATATCCAAAAACTCTGTTTCCTGCGGGACAGAGAAACACAGGATGTGACATCACAGATAGCGCACAGAACAGGATACAGAATTTCTGTAGCTCAAACAGTAGAGGGTGAAGGTCATGGGACCAAATGTATAATTTCAAGTTGCTTTAGATAAATGCATCTGCCAAATGCATAAATGTAATGGATGTGAAGATCATAGGTGAGAAATTCTCAACAAACCGTTAAATCGAACATTATTGCAAAATAACTGCAAACAAGACCTTACAAATCACATGATGTTGTGTGCAGTGTTGTTATTGTTAACTCAAACGGAAATATATAACTATTGCAAATTGTTTTCGTTAATTGAAATGAAACTAAAATAAAATACATATATTAGATAAACTTGAAATTAAAAAATTAAAAAAACAAAAATGATAAAACGTTGAAGTATTTAAACTACTAAAAGTGAAATAAATAAAAATAAATGTGTATACACACACACACACACACACTCACTCACACTCACGCACACTCACACTCACACACACACCACATTCACACACACACACTCACTCACTCACACGCACTCACGCACACGCACACACGCACGCACGCACACACACCACACACACACACACTCACTCACACACACACTCACAAACACACTCACACACTCACACACACTCACAAGCACACTCACACACACTCACACACACTCACACACACACACACACACACACACACTCATACTCTCACACACACACCACACACACACACACTCACTCACACACACACTCACACTCACACTCACACACACACACACACACACACACACTCATACTCTCACACACACACCACACACACACACACTCACTCACACACACACTCACACTCACACTCACACACACACACACACACACACACACTCATACTCTCACACACACACCACACACACACACACTCACTCACACACACACTCACAAACACACACACACACTCACACACACTCACAAGCACACTCACACACACTCACACACACTCACACACACACACACACACCACATTCACTCACTCACTCACTCACTCACTCACTCACACGCACTCACGCACACGCACACACACACACCACACTCACACTCACTCACACACACACACACTCATTCACTCACTCACACACACTCACACTCACACACTCACAAGCACACTCACACACACACACACACACCACATTCACACGCACGCGCACGCATACACACACACACACACACACACGCTGGAGGCCTGCAGCTCTTATGAATATTATGTGTTGATGATGCTACTCTCATAACAGGCAGGGCCTTGCAAAATTAATTTAATATATTAAAAACTAAAAACTAAAATATATACATAATTGTTACGTTATCAAATTATGATATTTTCATCTGTTACACCAAATGACTTCCCACTGGTATTCATAACAGAACAGCAGATGTTGATTGTGATTTTGTGATTGTGAATGCCAGTGTCAAACAAGGGTTATTATAGTTCACTAAAACTAAAACCATAAAACTAAAACCTTGTTACTTGAAATAAAATAAAGGTGAACTGAAATACAATAAAATATAACAAAACTTGAACATATCTTATTTCAGCTAGCTGCCAAGCCGACTACTAAATAACAAACTAAAACTTTATGAAAACTAAAATAAAATAAATTAAATTAAATACAAAAATAAATACATTTAAAAAATGTAGTAAATAAATTAAAAATTAAAAAATAAAACTGAAAAAAAAAAAAAACTACATAGACATGTTTTTAAAAATTCTAATAAAAATGCCAAAAATATACAAAAAAAGTTTTTTTAAGTAAACATTTTAAGTAAAAATGTCAAATTAAATTTATCCACATTTGTTTAAAGGTCAAAACATTAGATGACTGTAGCATGGTGTTTTGGACACTGTACTATGGTAATACTGTGGTTTCTGGACATGTATTATGGTAGTATGATGGTGCTCTTTGGAGTACCATGCAAATACTGTGGTACATGAATATGGTAATCATGCTGTATCATGGTAAATGTCAAAATACTGTGGTGTCACCATCACTGTACCATAGTACAGTACTTTTTTTGGCGAGTGTATGTGGGATTTCACGTAATAATTTAGTAGCTTTTGGTTCAGCTGACAAATAAAGGTCTTACAAATTAAATTTAATTAAATATATTACCTAATAAACATAAAACAAAAACGCGTAAATGTAAGAAGTGAATAGATGAAATATTCTCAACAAACCATTAAATCAAACATTTAGGTTTTTGTATCTGGTTCAGCTGACAAATAAAGGTCTTACAGAATAGACTGAATATAAATTATGAATACATTTAAAATAGAAGTTGTTTTTTTTTGTACACTCTCAGAAAAAAAGGTACAAAAGTTGTCACTGGGGTGGTACCTTTTCAAAAGGCACAACTTTGTACCTAAAGGGTCCATGTTGGTACCTTAAAGGTTCATATTAGTACCTAAAGTGTACATCTTAGTACCTAAAAGGTACAAAATTTTACCTTTTGAAAAGGTACCGCCCCGGTGACAGCTTTTGTACCTTTTTTTTCTGAGAGTGTAGAAGCAGCAGAAAAACAGTCAAATTCATATCTTACCTTGCTCTGATTGATCCAGTACAGGTAAAATCCTTTCGGATCCATCTTCATGGTGACCGGTGTGGTTTTCTTGGAGTCCTGTGAAGAGTTTTTATTATAAAACTATAGAACATCTATAAAATATCTCTCAACATGAATATAAACATCAGAAATGGACCATAAACACAAATCTAACTGGTCAAAGAGGCCCATTTTTATTAAACACTGACAAATATTCTCAAAAAAAAAATCATTAATGTCTCATAATAATTGTCTTTTTATCAAAAAAATTGATCATTTTCAGCATTAGGACCAAAAGCACCTGTCACACAATCAAATATGAATCCACTAACTAATATTGACTAGAATGTTTATGAGTCCTAAACATGATCCACTTACTTCTTTCCATTTTGTGAACCTGTCTCCCTTCACCAGGTACTCTTTGACATCAGGCTCCTGAAGCGTGTAGCGGTTTCGATTCATTTTGGACGGATCACCACAGTAATGTGGTCTAAAGCTTCAGTCCTGAACTCATTGTCCCCGGTGAGAATGAAGGACTTCGGGGGAACTCGGCTAAAATGAGCCGGCAGGACGTCCAGCCTTCAATATGCATTGCAAATGAGCGGACCCACCCTGCTCAGGTTTACACCGTTTCTGTGTGCTAGCATCTCAAAAATCAAATAATAAAGTAGCTCAGGATATAAGATCCAGAACGGATTTAAAGGAGGAGCGAATACACATATTTAGGCCTGAATTTAAGATTTATATATCTGAATTGCGTATAAATTTCCATCTGTTTGGATTCCACACTATTAACATAAACAAACTAATACATTTTGTGATGCATATTTGTCAGTCATACATTAATAAAACTAAAAACGAAAAAGAATGCCATTAAATACCTGCGTCTATTTGCGTCTTTTTTATTTTCAAAATGCATTCATTCAAATCGTTTAGAATCAGCATAAATCAGGTCATTGCAAAATAAATTAATAAATATTATATTAAATTCAGTTAAAAAGTATGAACTTAATTAAAATATGGAATAAGTGATATTCAGTTAGTTAGATTGAACTTGGATTTATTCATGATAAATATATAAACCATTGTGCGTTTAAAACTATTTAGTTTATTAGTACTCTTACACTTTCATTTATGTTTGACTGACAAATATGCATCACATTTATATGTAATTCAAATAAATAAATAAATCTAAGCCTAAATATTAAGCGAGCTAATAAAACTGTATTCTAACAATGTTTTGGTAACGTTGCCATTATGTTATGAAAACATTATTTCTGAATGTTAATCTTAAACTTCCAAAACGTTCAAAAAAAAATTATTTTTTTTGGTTATGTAAACAGCAAAGGACCATTCCATTTGATAATTTTATAACCATTATGGGAACGTTACTTTTAAATGTTCTCTGAACATTCCGAAACAAGTAGTTACATTTAAAGAATGTGTAAATAATGTTTCTATGGTAACATTTTGAAAACATTATGAGAACTCTGAACAAACATTTGATTAATGTTACTGGATAACTTTGCCAGAATGTTCTGAAAATGTGTTTGATTATTAATGGTAAGCACCAAATTATTAATGATGCAAGATTAGAATATGTAAATATTAGCATGGCTCTCGTTAACAGGTTTCCGAAGGGTCTGACACACACGGAGAGACGTTTAGATTCATTACTATATTAACTCATTAAGCAAAAGTGGAAATGTGAAGTTCATTTAGCTGCTTAGTTAAACTGATTGTGAGTAAAATCAGTGTGAAGAGAAGAATTAGGCATAGAATGAGCTGGACTGTGCTTCAGCATGACGTTCATGTCGTTTGGCTAATAGTCAAATATGAGCTGACACATGTAAATCATCATGGAGCACATTAACATGAACTACAGGACAAACCATTCACATCCACAACCCTGCATGAGCGAACGATCAAGAACACATTCATTTAAATAGGGATTTGTGTTCATTAATATTATATTATTCATGTGGCTGATGTCAGTGACAGTCTATGAATATCAAACATAAAAAACACAAACTATTTTACATATACACATTTATCTAGCCAAATATGGATGTGATATTTACCATTTAAGATAATGGTCTTCTATTTTAACATACTTTAAACTGTAATTGATTGCTGTGATCAAAGCTGAGTCTTCAGTATCACATGATCCTTCAGAAATCATTATCATATGCTGATTTGTTATCAATGTTAGAAACAGTTTTGCTGCTTAATATATATTTTTTTGGAACATGTGATACTCTTTTCTTTTCAGGATTATTTGATGAATAAAGAAATCTTTTCCAACAATATAAGTCTTTATTATCACTTTTTTTTTATCAACTTAACACATCCTTGCTGAATAAAAACATTCATTTTTTTCAAAAAGAAAAAAATGACTGTCCTCAAACTTTTAAATGGTAGTGTATATTGTTACAAAATATTTCTATTTTGAATAAATGCTGTTCTTTTTTATCTTTTTATTCATCAAAGAATCCTGAAAAAAGTATCACAGGTTCCAATAAAATATTAAGCAGCAAAACTGTTTCCAACATTGATATTAAATCAGCATATTAGAATGATTTCTGAAGATCATGTGACACTGAAGACTGGAGTAATGATGCTGGAAATACAGCTTTGATCACAGAAATAAATTACAGTTTAAAGTATTTTAAAATAGAAAAACATTATTTTAAGTTGCTAACAAAACTAATAATGAAAAAATAAAACAAACAAACATTTATTTCATATATGAATCATTTTAATTTTAGCTCAGTTCTCAGATCTTTAGCTACGTAAATACACACACACACACACACACACACACACACACACACACACACACACAGACACAGACACACACTCATACACGCACACACACTCATACACGCACACACACACACACACACACACACTGAGAGATTTATAAAATGTTAGTGATGCTCACTGGCAAAACATTAACCAATTACTGATCATCAAAAACACTGTAATAAACCAACATATATTTGGTTTAGGTATAAACACGCACGTTTAGGAAGATTTTCAGTATGTAAGTCTGATCTCGGCGCTCATGACCTCTGTCTCAAAGCGGTTCCGTGAGGTGAGTGTCAGTGCTGGACGACAGTGATTGGTTCTTACCGGCCAGCCAATCAGAGCAGGACATCATGGAGCAGGATTATAAACTCTAAATCTGATTGGCTCATGCAGCAGCAGCACCTCCAGGTGATGTGGTGTCAATCAGGTCCTGTGGCATCAGAGGACAGACGAACATCCAGCAGCCCCTGCAGGAGAATCATCTGTCCAAACGCCACAATTAACAGCTTAATTACTGACAGGGAGAGGTGGCGGTGTTACAGAGGTCAGAGCGGCCGACTATTATCAAAAAAACTAATGATTATGCATGCCAGGTCAATGAAGATGCTCAAGGGAAATGCATCTTTATGCAACTTCATGTTCAATTAAACAAACATCTACATTCACTGCAAATGTTAAATCATTTTGCTTTTATCCAAAATTAAGGAAAAAATAATTGATCACAGAACAAAACATAAAAACTTTAAACAAACATTAAAAATGCAGCCAGAATTCATAATGTAGGAGATCATTTACTTTAATGGATCTATAAATGATGTAAATAAAAATAGCATCAGAAGCCTTCCTTATTTCATATCAAATATTCATTGCATATTTAGGAATCATTCATTATTTATCAAAAGCGCTAGTGGAAAGATTTCTATAAGACAGTAATGATATCATAAATGTTAGAAAAAATACTGCTTTCTTATTTGAATTAATTAAAACACAGTATATATTAGACCTATATATATATATATATATATATAAATTTAACAACATTTTACATAACATAAAATAACAGTACACTAATAAGAGATGTGTATTTTTTATGATGTATTCATGACTGTAATTTGAATGATTGCATTCAAGTTGATTGGACTTTTTTACTTAAAAACAGTTATCTGAGATGTTAGCAGTGCTACTTTAATATCATTGAGATTCTCTTGTAGTTTTATTACTATTTTGAATCAGTTTTATTTTTATATTTTCCGTTTTCATTTTAAATTTTAGTAATTTTGCTGTGTGATTTTGACATTTCTAGTAGTTTTTGCTTTTTAAATAGAGTTTTTATTTGATTATTTTTTATGTTTTAGTTATTTTAGTGCAATAAGTTAAAATGTTAAAATGTTTTTCTCAAAATTGACTAAGTTTATGTCAATTTTATTTCAAGTAATGAGAATGTTTTTAATTGCTTTCATTTTTGTTTCCGTTTTAGTTTTAATTAACAACAATAACTGCATGCGATCACTTTTTTCCACAATAAATAAATAAATATATAATATTTAATAATAAAATAATATTGGATGAATACAATTCGTTCTTATCTGAATGCACATCATACAGATCTGTTAAGCATTATATAATATTTGTCAAAAGCATTTTTATGAAAGTTATCATAAAGTGTTACCAGATCTTGAATGAACTGACTTCACTCTCCGCTGGTCCTTTAAGAGCCTCCTCCTCCTCTCCTGTATTTTTAGCTGATGAAGCCTCTTCTTTAGTTGAATAACACACACACACAGAGACACACGCAGATGTGTGTACAGTATGATCCGTCTCATCATTTTCAACCCTCTCTAATCCATTCCCATGATATTTGGATCAGAAACATCTCAGCCTTCGGGGAAAAAGCTGCGCTGGATGCTGCAAAACACCAGAAGCATCAGCACCACCACCATCAACAACAACAACACCCACGTTGAGCTGCAACATGATCCTGATGGATTTCTGAGACATTTCGAGCGCCATGGATGAACGCGACTCGATTTAACCAGCGCGTAAAAGAGCCTCGACATCCTTCAAAACGGACGGGGTCGTGGAGCATCGAGGGAAAACCCGGGCCAATCGGGACCGAGACTACATGCCCAACATGGAGAGGGGCAGACCGGCCACCTACACGGGCGATAAGAAGGCAAAGATGGCTGCAAAGACCAATAAGAAGTGGGTAAGACTGGCCACCGTGTTCGCCTATGTTTTATCCGTGTCTCTAGCCGCGATCATCCTGGCCATCTACTACAGCCTCATATGGTCTCCAAACAAGTCAGCTCCAAACACCCCCACCACCACCACCACCGCGATCGGCAACGGGACGGAAAGCAACAGCACGCAGGCGACTCCGATCCACATCAACGCCACCGGCACCAACGCGTCTCCGGAGCAGACGGCCGCGTCCCTCTCCAAAAGCGCGCACTCCCAACCCGCGGATCTCTACACATACATGCCCAGCGACATCTCAGACACCCAGGCTGCAGCAAAAACACAGTCTTCCCGGAGAGACCAGACCCTCGCCGGTGGAGACGCACAGCCGGAGACGCGCTGGGACGAGCGCGCAACGTCGCCGGAGGACGACTCTAGACAAACTGACTCAAACAACCGGCACAGAAAGACCTAAGCGAGGGTTTGAGACTCGGAAACGTTGCTGCTGCTTCACAAGCCGAGACGAGGCTGGACACCGACGCATAAATAGCAGAGGCTCCGATAGTGTTTAACCATTCATATATAACCTATTTTGTTTTGCCTTAATGCTCGGCATCTCCTCGCAGTCGATATTTTGGACGCGTACACTCCAAAACCGCATTGAATTGTATAGGAAACATTCATCCGAAGCGAAGGACTGACTGTCCATTGCGCTCAATGCCTTGATTTGAACAGCCATGTTTTTGGGGTGGGAGGGGGACAAGCTTTTAAAATAACAACACTAAAAGCTTGCATGAATTTCAACTAACCCTGTTACCCAGTTTAATCAGGAT